GGGGGGGGGGGGGGGGGGGGCATTTGGCCACTGTGTGGAAAGGCTGCACAGAGCGGCACAGGGGAGAGCTCACATCTTGGCTTCCCGGACCTGCTGCTGACTTTCAGCTTTTTTGTGCCTCAGATAACACTTTGTAAAATAGGAATCTTTTTTTTTTTTTTTTTTTTTGTGACTGGTAAGGGATTGTACCCCTTGGCTTGGTGTTGCCCGCACCGCGCTCAGCCAGTGAGCACACCAGTCATCCCTATATAGGATCCGAACCCACGGCCTCGGTGCTCCCAGCGCCGCACTCTCCCGAGTGAGCCATGGGGCCGGCCCATGAAATAGGAATCTTAATGTCTGCTCCCCATATTTTAAGGGACTGTAGAGGACAAAAGAAATGATGTATTTGAAAATGCTTTCAAGTCTTTTTTAAATACATTCTTTTAAAAATAAAGTATTTAGTGAGGACTTACTATGTGCTTGGCTCTTTAAAATCATTATCTCATTACATTCTTTTAACTCTATGGTATTTGTATCTCCAGTTTTACCTGGAGGGAAACTAAAGTTAACAGAGGTTTATTAACTTGCTCACCCTGCTGTTAAGTTGTAGATCCAGGATTAGAACATAGGTCTGTCACCTCTTAAAATCATACCAGCTTGCTGCACTGCAACATACACATATACTAATTTTTACCATTATGTTATTACATGGCATGGCATCGTAATATTTCTCTCTCTCTCTCTCTCTCTCAGAAAAAGCAAATGATGCTCTGAGTGAAGACCATGACAAAGAACAGAAAGACCCTTATTTTGTGGAGACCCCCTATGGTTATCAACTAGACTTAGATTTCCTGAAATATGTGGATGACATACAGAAGGGAAACACCATCAAGAAACTGAACATCCAGAAGAGGCGGAAACCATCTGTGCCATGCCCAGAGACCAGGGCCACACCTGGACAGCAAGGTCTGTGGACTTCAACAGAATCCCTCTCATCATCCAACAGTGATGAGAAACAGTGCCCCAACTTCTTCCTAGCCAGAAGCCAAGTTACGTCAACTCCAGTCCCCAGGCCACCTGCACCTCTGGAGACCTCACCCACTTTTCTTATTATCCCCGAAAATCGACAGCTGCCACCCCCCTCACCGCAGCTCCCAAAGCACAACCTTCATGTCACCAAGACACTGATGGAGACCCGGAGAAGACTCGAACAGGAAAGAGTCACCATGCAGGTGACATCGGGTGAGTTCAGAAGGCCCAGGCTGGCCAGTTTTGGAGGCATGGGCTCCACAAGCTCCCTCACCTCCTTTATGGGTTCTGGAAACCACAATCCTGTCACACACCAGCTTCAGAATGGATATCAAGGCAACGGGGATTATGGTGGCTATGCCTTGGCTGCTGCTACCACCTCCTCTATGGGGAGCTCCATCCGCCACAGCCCCCTGAGCTCAGGGATCTCCACTCCAGTGACCAACGTGAGCCCCATGCACCTGCAGCACATCCGCGAGCAGATGGCCATTGCCCTGAAACGCCTGAAGGAGCTTGAGGAGCAGGTGCGGACCATCCCTGTGCTGCAGGTGAAGATCTCTGTCTTGCAAGAGGAGAAAAGGCAGTTGGCCTCACAGCTGAAAAACCAGAGGGCTGCATCCCAGAATGACGTCTGTGGTGTGAGGAAGCGGTCCTACAGCGCGGGGAATGCCTCCCAGCTGGAGCAGCAATCCCGGGCCCGGAGAAGTGGTGGGGAGCTGTACATTGACTACGAGGAGGAAGAGATGGAGAGCGTGGAGCAGAGTGCGCAGAGAATGAAGGAGTTCCGGCAGCTCACAGCAGACATGCAGGCCCTGGAGCAGAAGGTCCAGGACAGCAGCTATGAGTGCTCCTCGGAGCCCGGGGACAATGGACAGAGCTGGCCTCCGGAGTGCCGGTCTGTGGCTGTGGGTGCCGATGAGAACATGAACGACGTCGTTGTGTACCACCGAAGCTCCAGGCCCTGCAAGGATGCAGCTGTGGGGATGGTCACTGAGACGAGGAACTCTGGGGTCAGTGTGACAGAGGCCATGCTGGGAGTGACTACTGAAGCTGACAAAGAAATTGAGCTGCAACAGCAGACCATAGAAGCCTTAAAGGACAAGATCTACCGCCTGGAAGTACAGCTTAAAGAAACCACCCATGACCGGGAGATGACGAAACTCAAGCAAGAACTGCAGGCTGCTGGGTCGAGGAAAAAAGTTGACAAAGCCCTGATGGCCCAGCCCCTTGTTTCCAGCAGGATGGTGGAGGCGGTGGTGCAGACCAGAGACCAGATGGTTGGCAGTCATGTGGACGTGGTGGACGCGTGCGTTGGGACCTCGGTGCAAACAGACAGCGTAGGCATCTCCTGCCAGCCGGAAGGTAAGGACCGAGCCGTGGGGCCCGAGCTGCCCATGACCTGCTGGGTGGTTAAGGAGCGGGTGGAAGTGCACGACCGCTGCGCTGGGAGGTCCGTGCAGACGCGCGACGCGAGTGTGGGTGTGGAGGTCAGTGTCTGCGAGACAGGCAGCAACACGGAGGAGTCCGCCGGTGACCTGACACTCTTCAAGACACACGTGAATGTCACAGAGGTGCGGTCCATCGGCTGCGGAGACTGTTCGGTCCATGTGACCGTCTGCTCTCCAAAGGAGTGCGGCTCGCGCGGCGTGAACACAGAGGCCACCGGCCAGGCAGACGCTGCCGTCATGGCCGTGCCTCCGACCGCCCACCAGCACACCTGCACGGCCCTGCAGCAGGTGACCCAGTCCACCAACACCGAGACTGCCTCCCTCGTGGAGTCCTGCACCAACACTTCCCTCAGCACTCTGGACAAGCAGACCAGCACCCAGGCTGTGGAGACGCGGACGGTGGCCGTAGGAGAGGGCCGCGTCAAGGACATCAACTCCTCCACCAAGGTCCGGTCCATCGGTGTGGGGACATTGCTTTCTGGCAGTTCTGGGTTTGACAGGCCATCGGCTGTGAAGACCAAAGAGTCAGGCGTGGGGCAGATAAATATTAACGACAACTACCTGGTCGGTCTCAAAATGAGGACCATTGCTTGTGGGCCTCCACAGTTGACCGTGGGGCTGACAGCCAGCAGGAGGAGCGTGGGCGTTGGGGACGAGTCTGTAGGGGAGCTCCTGGAGAACCCCCAGCCCCTGGCTCCCTCTGGAATGAAGACCGGCTTGGATCACTACATTGAGCGGGTCCAGAAGCTGCTGGCAGAACAGCAGACGCTGCTGGCTGAGAACTACAGTGAACTGGCAGAGGCTTTTGGGGAGCCTCATTCGCAGATTGGCTCCCTCAACTCACAGCTCATCAGCACCCTGTCATCTATCAACTCTGTCATGAAGTCTGCAAGCCCCGAAGAGCTGCGGAACCCTGACTTCCAGAAAACCAATCTGGGTAAAATCACAGGTAGGTGGCACCCTGAGGAACTTGGGAATGAGGAAGGTTGGGGGAGAATGGCTTTCCAGGAGGTAAGGATTTTATTTTAACTGCTAAAACTATTTTGGGGGACCTTGGAGAAAGCTTTAGAATCCACAAGCAACTCTGCTGATTGTCATTATCTGGTAGCATCATTGGCCTCTGTCTGAGGACTTAAGGCTGGGAGAAAAGTAGAGTGTTGGCTGGCCTAGAGGTTGTCTTCTGGGGCTGCTAGTTTGATATGATGCTTTATTCTTTGTCTACCTGTTATTTACTTGCTTATTTTATATGGAACTGCCTGGGGAAAATTCTACACTGTTTGTGCCCACAATTACCAGTATATTATCTATTAAAAACATTGGTATAAAATGTTTTTAGTTAAAATTTTTATGTGGGGAGAGATACTGTGCTAATTCATTTATTAATTCAGTAAATAATTATTGAATTCCTACTCTGTTTCAAGTGTAGGTATAGGCTCTGACGATAGTGCAGTGAACAAAACAGAATCCCTGTCCTCATGGTGTTTACATTCTGGTTGGGGCACAGGCCATAGACAGTAAATTTATAATAATATGTGAGGAGATATGAGTACTGTGAAGAAAAGAACTCCTGTTATGGGAATAACAGGTAGCAGTGGTGGGTGCTATTTGTGGTGAGGTGGTCAAGGAAGCCCTCTCTGATCGCGACCCCATGAACACGAACTCTGAGAGACAGGAGTCTTTTTCCAATGTTCATTTTGATAGGTGCTTACATTTTTGTCTTTCTCATTTTTTTCCTGATTGATTGGGATTCCTGCTCACTCTTTTCTGTAAATTGAAGCTAATAATTGAGAAATGACCCTGGAAGATTTTATGACATACATACATTACCCTTGGAGCCTCACCAGAATGACTTCCCTTGTTAGTGGTCGCTCTGTGTCTCTAACAGTCACATAATATCATTTTAGGCCTAGGGCTGTACTCCCTGGCTTCCATTCCTGGCTCTCCAGTTCTCAAGAGCCAGTGTGAACTGGGGAATGGTATACATTAAATTAATTTTATGTGAAAATGTGCAATACTTGGAGCCTCACCAGAATGACTTCCCTTGTTAGTGGTCGCTCTGTGTCTCTAACAGTTACATAATATCATTTTAGGCCTAGGGCTGTACTCCCTGGCTTCCATTCCTGGCTCTCCAGTTCTCGAGAGCCAGTGTGAACTGGGGAATGGTATACATTAAATTAATTTTATGTGAAAATGTGCAATATTGACCCAAGTAAACCTTCCACAAAAATTTCAGTCTTTCTGTTTCCCTTTTTAGCCTGAAAGAGCAGTGATTAAAATGGACTGACATAGATTGTTTTTATATCTTCCTAGGTGTCCACCTTCAAACCTGAATTACTGTCAGATTTTAGCATCTGTGTTATGGGACAGATAGTTTATTGTGGAAGAAAAAAGTGAACATGACAGCTGGTGTGTGGGTTTTTGCCTTTTTGAATCCAAAGAGTCTAATAAATGTACAGAGGAGTCATTTTAGAATAAACAGGATTAAAATGATATGTAGACTGAAGCGATCTTAACTAATAATATGTCTGTTTCTCCTTCCTTTTAAAAATTGTGATGTCAGATGTTGAAGTCAAAATAAAATTCTTAAATACCTCCAGACACCAATGGCACAGTAGATCATGCGATATAAAAGTATTTTCCTCCCAGCCTTCCTCCCTCCTCCCCAAACTGGGGTTCTTATTTCACATTCTTGCCAAAAATATTCAGCTGTAACAGTGCAGTAATTCATATGACGCCCTGAGCATGGAGACCAGGGAGAAAGTTTTGTCTGGCTGTGTTACAGTGTTTCTGGTCTATTTCCAGTCATACTGACATTCCACACATCACAGTTTAGATCTGACCCGGCAGATGAACACCTAATTAATCGGCTAAAATAGAGGAGACCTATAGCATTCACGAACAACAGAATAAATATTTTTAGAGCAATTATTGTGGTCTCAGCCCTCTCCTACAGCACACAGGAATGACTTTAAAGTATTGATGTAGTTCACATCACATTTGTGTTTTAAACATTTGGCTTTAAAGTTCTAATGAGGAAGGAATTAGGTTAGGAACTCAAACCAGAGTATTCCATTTTTGTTACCTGCTGTTTATTATATGAGCTAAAAAAAAAAAAAGGGCAGCCTGATATAGTGAGGTAGAGATTCTCAACACCTGCAAGCTGTGAAGAGTGAAAGTGTATCACAATGCATTACAGATGACCACGCACACCTTGTAATATAGAGTATTACACACAGTCTAGAATGCACTTCTGTACTGAAAGATATCTTGGAGTATCAAAAGGAATTCATTTCAAAGTTTCTTCCCCAAATAAAACAATAGGGAGTTTGGGTTTGATACCTATCGAAAAGAGCATATAAATAATCACTTACATGAACCTAGTACTTTAATTTAAAGAAGTTAAGTTTGAGCTCTGAAGCCAGACAGTCTGGGTTCACATTCTTTCTCTGCCACTGGGACAAGTTGCCTTTGTTCCCTCACGGGGTTGTAATGAAGATTCAGTGAGTCGTTAGGAGTGAAGCCTTTGGAGTAGTCTACAGCATAGTATACATGCACAATAAAAGCTAGCTGTCATTGTTATCGTCTGAGTACTTCTAGAATGGAAAGGTAGATATAGAACAAATTGCCAAACAAAAATTGTACAATCTTTTGTTTTTAATCCAAATTTTTATCTTCATAATTCTGGCTAACAGCCTTTTCTCCAATTATTATCCCTCCCCAACTAACATAATTCTGGCTAACAGCCTTTTCTCCAATTATTATCCCTCCCCAACTAACAATTTTATCAAGATAAAGAAATATATAGATAAAGGTGGGAAAACAGAAAGTAAATAAACTTTCAGTTCAGAGTCATTCAGAATGAGTGTTAAAGCTCAAAATGAAATGTATTAGTGCCCAATTTATAGAATTTTGTTTTTCTGATAGTTGAAGATTTGATGATAGTATCACTTTTTAGTATGCAAAAAAGCATTATTTTTAGCAGCATTGTAATGCCTATACTCCTATTCAGTTTCTTAAAATTACAACAAAGTATGCACTCATAACAAATTAACAGTTCAGAGGAGCATAAAATAAAGATTAAAAGCTTCCCTACATGTGTTTGGTATGTAGATATGTGCATGTGCACAGGCCTGTATTCTAGAAACATACATTTTATAAAACCAAAATTTGAAT